GTGAAGATGTGGAGCCTTACGGCGAAATTTAAACAAACACCATCAAGTCACAGTGTCCTATTCTGCGTAATTAAACACGTGCGCTTGTGCGCATTGACACTAAATGATTCTGGCTACACAGTCTGTTTAGGAAAATTAAGGAACAAAAACCAACAACGAATATCGCTTTAATGCACTTTACTCCAACACTGCAGGAATGTTTTAATGTAAGAATTAGTTGTTTACGACGCAAGAAAGGACTATATTTGGACAACGTGGAGACAAGCACGTGTGTGTGTGTACACCCAGCAGCGAGATTCTGGTACTGGAGAGGAGTTGAGACTAGACGAGCCTGGAGACACCCCGAAGTTAAAAATAAACAACAAAGCGAGGCAGACACGGGCAAAAAGCTAGCTTTTTAAACTGAACAGGGCGAATCTGAGGGCTTAAATACACCGCGATGGCGCTACTTCCGCTATACATCGACATTTGACACAAAAAACCATTTGTGATTCTGGTATGCTGGAAATTCATTGAAAAAAAGGGTGATTAATGAGCAAAAGTAGCACAAATACCGCTATTTTACGATGAAGAAATCCGTGATAAAGGAGGCAATCAAGTACCCCATATCTAAAAACTTTCCCACCAACTCCTCCTGGTGAATCCTGAAACTGATTATAACAGTTGTAGACCTCGAGAGTTTTAATGAATTTGAGTGGCTGGTTGTTCACTTCACGTCGATTTTTACACATCGTTATTGTATCTATCAGAAGCCAACCTCAACTTGCAAATAATCTGTTGTGGGTCCCAGCATGTGGTACTGAACCACGCCGGGGCCACTGAATTAACCCTGGCCTGATGACGATTGCCTGATGTCTGCGATGAAGAAGAAGACCGGAGAGGACGAGACAACCGTTTACTTCAGAGATCAACCAGACTGGTGTCGTTGTGTCGAGTTTGCGCACGCGTATTTATACCTCGGATGAGTGAGTCATAGATGCGCTAACACCAAGATCTAGGTGTGAGGTTAATCCAAGATACATATACGTGTGAATGATGGGGGATTGAGGATTTGCGCGGTTGTCGCCATGCTTCGAGAAGGGGAGCCTTTTATTGGAGGCGAAACGATCGGATTAAGGAGTTGAATAAACACGATTCACAACAAATCATATGAAAACTGCCCAGTAGCAGACAAGAGGTAACAGAAAACAAGGATATGCGACAAACAGAAGGTACAATAAATAATGACGTCCAAAATAGGAAAGGATAATTTATAAAAATTAGTGCACACAATAAACCCGTACTTAATAAGAACTGAAAAAAACCATTTAGTTTTGATAAGAATTTGGTGGTAATTAGTAGCAGTAGAGAGAGAGAGGACAACGAGAGAACTCGATGTTCGCTTCAACCCAGAACTTGACAAAAGGAAAATAACTAACCGACAAGGCCCCATCGATTGTAGGCAAGTAGGTGCCGTGAAATCAATTCGCGGGAGCCCGGAGAGAGAGGGGTGAGGGAGAAACCGGAGGTGACGGGGGGCCGAAAGTTGTACTTCTTCTCGATGAAATCCAACACAGGATCCCACTCCGAGTTCTGTTCAGAAAGCAACTCCTCTGGGCTTTCGACTCGAAAACTGCATGCAAAGTCAAAAAGGGAATATCGATGGGCCACGAAGATGCGGCGGCAAAGATAAACACGTCTCCTGCGTGCAGCACCTCATGTTAACACGAACTACCTTTAGCTAGGGCGAGTTAGGCGACATCGGCCTTCGTCGCAACAACACGATGGTAGGTAACAGGACATCCAATTAGATGCAAATCACACATGGATCGACCACAGACTTATCCGTATTAAATGTAAATCGAGCATATTCTAACCCCGAAAAATTTGCCCACGTTTGAGGAAAGATTTTTTCTGTGAAAACATTAATTACACTGACAGACTGCGGAATTAATGGCATCCAGTTTAACCAAAAGGCATAACACCGTGATTAAAGAAAGGACTGGAGAGAATATCATTAATTCATGCTTTTTACGCGACTCGATTACCGATAATTGCAAAAAGGCAGAACAACTAATTCACCATGGAGGTTGATTATGGACAAGCGTATTGGCTCCTTGAAGTACAAATTCCCCGAGTGCAACTGGGAAGGAAAAACCTGAACTGATGGAAACTGTGGTCAGAAAAGGCGCCCGTGAAATGATGCTAGGGGGAAATGGCCAGTATTCTGTGGTGAATGTCAACAGCTGATGGGGGCACCAAGGGTTAGGATATAAAAGCCCAGAGAATTAAGGAGCGTCTTGAGCGAGTACTCGTCTGACGCGTGTAGACATCACCACGACGGGAGAAATTGCCGTTCGGGAGCAACACTAGGGAGGGGGCGGGGCGTGGTGAGGCTGCGGTAGGTTGATTGCACGACAAAACTGCTCTAGCAGCTGGTGCTTGGCACGAATAACTCGGAACGGGACATCCGACCTAACTTGGCCGAATGGGCGGGTGTCGCCAAAAGACTGATCCTTTACATCTAGAGTAAGTGGAGTTTTGTAGACAGCCAAAGATCCAAGTTCGCTACGCATAAATCGAGGCATTGGCTGGAAGTTCGGCTGCATGCAGACCGTTTGAAGAGAAGGGCAGAAGGCATTTCCCAAATAATCCCAGCACACGCTCACTTAGTCACCAGAAACACGGTAAACGCAATCCCTCTAATGCTTTTAATTCGATCAACTCAAACAAATGTAATTTTTTTTCTTTAGAACAAATGATTTCGAACATCGCTGTCTACATTGTAGCGTAATTGACAAATTGGTGGGGTCGACATTTGTCGACACGTGGAAAATTTCAAAGCGAGGACTTATCGTCTTAAACACCATCTACTTAAATGTTTGGGTAGAACTTTTTACTGGCGCTTTTCGACTTTGTTAAATGTGTTCGAACATGTACGAATACATTGCCCTTCCCAAAAAAAAACTTCGCAAAGGATAGCCTCATCAATATTTATGAGGTTTTTACTCACCAAATTGTATCAGTATCTGCAAACTCCATTATGCCTTGAACAATGGCCTCCTTAGATCGTTCGGTTGGATTGTCAATGACATGGTAGCATAGCGTAGTCTTAAAAAGAAGACTTGAATAAATACGTGAATAAGAAGCCGAAGTAAAGTGACGGTCGACTACAATTGACGCGGGCACAAAACTGGAGAGCACAATGTCAATTCAAACAAGAGGCATAGAATACAGAGTGTGGCTGACCCCACCTACTGTTTCCGTATTCTAAGGTTAAAAACATGACGATATGTCCAATTCACTACCTTAGTGGCAAAATCGAAGGATGCGGAATGATTCGCGAAAACATCATAAAAGCTTCTGGAAGAATGCTCGGTAATATTAAGCCAAAACAAACTGTTGAAATGTTAGCCTAAGAAGGGGTGCTTTGATCAGATTAAATTAAAAGCACAAAAGGGAATCTGGTAAATGTACATATACGATGAAATAACTGGACAATGTAGACCATTTCGACTCGAGGTAATTAGACAATGTTAATCATTGCACATGCACATATGTCAGCAAAATCAGTGGTTTCTACAAAACGACCTCAATAAGTTCCAGCAAAGCAAAAATTTTACCATTTCCCGAATACAACGCATAATAGAAGACTAAGTGGAAAGAGAACCACTACTCACTAAAGGCATTGTATATTTCTCTATTACGTCCACTTGTGATTCCCATTCATGTGCAACAGCAAAAGCAAGACCCTCGTGAGGAACACAGAAGACATTCCCACCGGGCGTTCGCAAGCGGCTTTTGTCAAGCAGAATGCCAAATCCCGGCTCCTTAACATCATCCACTAAAGTAAAAGATAAACCAAAGATTATTTTGAGGAATATGAGTCTCGCACATGGCATTTAGGCAATAAGTAATTTTTTAAACCGAAAATTGATCGATTAAAATTAGCATAGTAGCAAGTACGTGTTATAGATGTGTGCTTTATGTGGGAAGGTTTCTAAACACAACCATGCATAACCAATGCAAAACACATTGGGCTAAACAAAAGTACGCATAGTGAAATTCGACTAAATTCACTCCATGGAAATTCAAGATAAAGGTGCGTTTTACCAAAAGGGGACTGTAGACGCTGTCTACACTTTTACATTCATTTCGTGCAATCAAATTTTGCCTACGAAACACAAAAACGTTATAAGTGTTGAGAAACTGAACCGCATACCTTAACCGTCTTTTCAGGCAACATCCTTCCCATAAAATATAGATGTCAATTTTTAGTGTTTACGTACCCGTGCAATCTTGCTACAAGGACAGACCACTCAAATTATCACAAGGGAAATAGAAAGTAAACAAACAATTAATTTGTGCTTCGATAAGACAATCAAAGGTATAAAATGCAAATATGTGAAGTGAAACAGGATCATTTTTCGATCAAAAAACCATAACACCATTTAAAATTATTAGAAAGACTGCATGTCACTGGAAGGCGTTTATTACTATACACGACATGCAAATCACCCTCAAATGAATTAATAGACGTACCAGACTCAGGCAAATTGCAACTTAAAAGGCCTGAAGAAGATACGACATTAAAATCATGCATTCACAACAGAACAAAGAATTACACATTTTAAGTGCGTGATAAAAAATGAGGCACCTGAGAATTCCCCCATACCATACACCCATTAGTATAGGCGAAATGAGTAACCGTATTTTCTCATCACTGGAAATTACTTAAAAAACATGGGGATATGAAATATATCGCAACAGAACACGTCCCCAAAAGGAAAACCGAGAAAAAAGAACTCACCAACGCATACGCTGTTTGCTATTGAAACATTCTTATAAAATCTTTTTAATGACCCTAAACGCAAGCTTTAGACAAAATTTATGATACCTTTTGACGAAAAATGAGATTTCGACACGTGAAGGATTAGGCTCCTTGACCAATAACGAGCCAATAACATTTCCGAATTGCAAATTGAGTCGAATCGAAGATAATTCAAGGTTGAAGGATTTATCTGCAAATATAAAATTTAAACAAAAGCAAAATATTATTAAAAAACTAAAATATGTCTAGTTTCAACACTTTTAAGCATTTGTTTTAACATATTTTTAAATTACTACAAAACATTTACAAAAACTTACAAATAGATCAATAAAATTAAACACGTGAATCAAACATTAAAAAAATTATATTACGTGAATTTGCCCCAACTTTTGCGCCGCTAACATTTTCTACTAATCTGATTATTAAAGATAAATTTATTTTTTTTGAATAGAGTCCAGGACGCTGGAGTGAGAGACATAGTGAAAAACAACGATATCGGTGATTGAATGGATTTTTTGTGGGATGAGGTTCTACGTTGATATATTCATTGACGTATCTGAACGTAGAAAAGTAAATTCAATTTATATTAAACAAATAATGCACTTGTTGTAATGAATTGAAAAAAATGACATGTGAGTTGTTTGTAGTGGAGACAAAGGTTTTGAATTTAATCAAAACTGCAAATGATGCAGGTTCGAAAGAGTTAGGCTTTGATTGTTGACACAGCCGCTATAAATCCGCTTAAATTGCTCAAAGGTTAGACTCGAAATAACTTCTGAAAGGAATAAAGTCGGTGTTAGGGCAATATTTCAGGTTCATCCACCGGGTTCTTGGTGCGAACATAGGAGGGACATCTACGAGGCAGTCTTCCTTGGATAATAAATGGGAAGGATATCGCTGAAATTATCGAAGCTTAAGCGAAGCCTCAAGAAGAACAAAAGTGTTCCTACGGCGATTTTTGGCCAGATGGGTGTCTACTAATTCCAGTAAGAAAAGTAGATATATGAATTACCTGTAGTCTTCTTGTGGAACTAGAAAAGGTTTAAAACCTGATTGTGGATTGTCACTGTGAGATGTTTTTCGTATAAAACCGAAATGTAGCACTAAAGGCAGATTAACAAATATATTTAGAGTTAGGTCTTCTAACGATTTAGTTACAAGTAATGCAACACGTGCTGTGGGAGAACACTGCTGACTGTCAATGATGAATGAGTCAGAGCCGGGTTTGATTAGACGGACATAGCGGAGTAAAATAACTAGAAATAAAGACCTAGACTAGTAAATTATTTATAGGTTTTTCAAGCATTGTGAATTTGGAAGGACTTGAAAAATTAAAAAATACATTGTTTACCAGTAAGATGAAACATATCTGGGTTCCATAAAATGCGTAACAAACGAAGGTTAAACTAAAAAGTCATTTGAAAAAAAAACAAAGTTGAAACAAATTTAGCAATATTGCTACAGTTTTTATCACGATTGTAGTTTTGGATTCGACGATTGAATCCTGCAAATTTTTTCATATTTGTAGTACCGAATTAGCTCAGCTTCAAATAGCAATGATTTAGAATGTTCCAACTTTAAAAAAAACTGGATAAAAAATGTGTGACAATTCTACGGATGCCTTTTCTTTCTATCAACTTTCAATTTTTTTACAGACCTCAAAATCACTTGCTTTTATACTGCATTGTCCTAAATGTCATGATATTTCATGGTTTCATTAAAATTGTACCAATGTATCCTTTAAAGTGACAATTAAAAAAATCGTGCGCAACACATGATCTTATTTAAAGTCCATTTCCTCCTGTAATAATTATTTTAAAAAATTCTTTTTTTCGGGAGATAAATCCGGATCTTGATGTATTAAAGGACTTTCATAAATACGTAGCAAGATTTACAAAATAGCTTTTATATTTCGGTAACAAATATCAGTCACAGATGTATTAAATTGATATGACTTAATGATAGAATTGTTTGGATGGCCGTTCGCTTTCCACCTTTGGTGTTTTCAAGAAGCTTAACTGTAAAAATTCTATCGGTATGTAGATTAACTTGGACGTCAAATTAGAGGTGAAGCCAATTCTAAACACATAAACTTTTGTAAAATATCGGACAAAATAAATTTCTTTACAGGTTTATAATAAAGAAAAATAGTAGGGATAAAATTTAAAGCAATAACTTTTAAATTATATTTCTTTTGATTATATCAACAAGTTACATTTAATTAAAACTATCCGCGCACTAATTGAGTCCACGTTTTTGGGTTTTGTAACCATGCTTTCGGACGATTGCTCTGATGTCAGTGATGGGTAATGCTATATATATCTTACTCATTTGCACATCTTTTTTTGTACTTTTATTGCCAATTTTTGTGTTGCAGCAACGTGTTAGGAACAGCAGATGAGGCGGATCCCGAATCCACCATTGTATGTTGCTTGTTAACGTTATATGATGCAAAATTTCTTAATTAATGAATTTCTCCTGATGGCTGCTATTCTTATATCAACGTATCGTTATTAAGCCTAATTGGTGATATATATTATGCTGTGGGATATTGGATTTATTTAGTGTGTATGGCTGCAGCTATAATAGTGCGATTTTTTTATTACCGTTAAAATGCCTTATCATAATTGATTGATGGATGCAAGTTGCTTTTATTTTCGATTTTCAATAGTCTTGTATATTCCCCACCTAATGGCATAATTCAATGATTTTTGCATTTATAGTATGAGCGAAGTTGAATCTATACTTTAGGACTACAATTTGCAGATTTCAAATCAGAAATTCCTTGGGAATATTATTTATCGTACTTTTTTCAAAATGACTACTAGGTTTGAGATTTGTCATGTCGGATTTATCAACCCTATCTTTTATCAAAACTTAAAAATATTCGGTTTTAAGTTCACTTTCTCATTATCTTCGTCTCAGCGTCAAAGAACACGTCTTGCCTCAACGAGTTGGAATGCTCCACAGCCGGTTCTGCGAGTAGGCAGACGCACTGTTTTCACGCGCGGTCGACCTCCGTGGTATACTTGCGAGGGACAAATTGATAAATGCTTCGTTATCGGTATTTGCGGGGGATCCGGCAGCGGGAAAACAACAGTTGCGCAAAAAATCATCGAACGACTTAATGTATCTTGGGTCAGTTTGCTTAGCATGGACTCATATTACAAGGTACGGTCTATTTTGAAATGTTGAAGTCTCTTGTCTTCCATAAGAATTTTAATACAATTTCTCTACGTTTAGTGCAAGCATTATTAAGCTATTCTTCTCCCTAACAAATTTTAAATATTGTCATTAAATACACGCAGTCTCAAATCCGGTGTTTCTTTATTGACGCTTAACATTATGGAAAGATTGGGTACAAAAATAGGTCGAAATCGGTACTTACAAATATTAAATTTTCATATACTGTCTTTTAAGTCAAGAACCATAAAATTTTCACTCTATGATGCATTCCGCGGTGCTATTAGTATGGTTCCCCTTGTTTCAGTATCGTTTTCATAAAACTGCTTGAAACTTGCAAATAGAAAGCGTTAATAAGCTGGCAATGTATAACTTTATACTCAACAATTGACTATGAGTGTCTCCTATATTTGCTCATGGGAAGACATTTTTGGCCAATGTTAATGATTACTGCAGGTACTCTCACCAGAAGAAAAGGAGCTGGCGAAAAAGGGCCTTTATGACTTCGATCACCCATCGGCTATTGACAGCAAGCTTCTGATCAACCACTTATCTCGTCTAAAAGAGGGCAAAAGCATTCAGGTTCCCGAATATGACTTTACAACTCATTCCCGTGTTGCTAAGACGGTACGTTTAGGCTCTGTTTTTCTGCAGATTTTCAACAGACTGCTGCTTTTTCTACCATTTTGGCAATTTTAAGTCCCCATAACCCCTAAACACTTGGGTTTTACATTTCCCACTATCTATCATTGTCAGTACGTGATTTCTAGTTGCTGTTTTGATCACATTGTCTGGGTTTCATTGCTTTCTGTCTAAGAAACACCTGGCTCAAATAATAGACTCCTGCTTAGTCAGGGTATTTCAACAATCTTGGATGTTTATGTATCAACAGTCCCTGAAATCTGCAGCTGTGTGTCGGTGAGGTCATTCATGTGATTGAGCGCCGAATGCCTAGCATCTCCTGGTTAAAATTTGAGTGTTAGAAAGTACATGAATACTCAGAATCACTTTAAAGCTAAGCAGCAAATTAATTACACCGAATCAAAAAGTTCCTGCTTGTGATTTATTTGCTTTCCTCTTCAGCGAACTCTGTATGGTGCCGATGTGGTTATCTTCGAGGGTATAATGGCTTTCTGCTATCCTGAACTCACTAAGGTAAATTCCTCTTATAACATCGTCGATGTTTTATGCATTTATGGCTCACCGCTTATTTAACCGATGTTAGTTCGTTTGTTTGTTATTATTGTCTTTGGTTTGGTCAAGTTATTCGTGAAAAAATCGCATCACAATGTAAATGACCTTTTTTATTGCGATTTTCCTTTCCGACCTCTGCCTGTGCTTTTTTCATTCCTTTATCCTTGCAAATACTTCCGTATGATCGACTTATATCGCACGAAGTAAGTTATTACCATCTGCATCATCAAAGTAAGCTTAGATTTGTTGAAGTCTAATGGACCACAATGTTAGTTTGTTGTATCAACCGAACTGAGTGATTCTGTTCTCGCAAAATATGACAAAATGCCATTTACTTGTATTTTCTCCACGTGACCCCATTTTTGTCTATGCCTGTCGGAGGTTCATTTAGTTCATTGTTCCGTCACGTGAGACGAATTCCCATTTTCGCATGTTTTCTCTGCATCTATTGGTTGTCAAGTGCCAGCGAAATGCATTTAGCTTCTTTGGTGCCGTTGTCAATGGTTTTGCAGCTTATTGCAACTTAATTTAGGCAAAATGACGCTTCTGAGGTCAGGCAGTACTAGAAGTGTTGGGCGGTAACCCAGAACATGTGGGCTCCCAATGTTCGATTCTGTGAAATTTAATGAACTTAACGTGCAAACACGCAATATCCCAATGGCTCACAATGGTTGTTCTGGTTCTACGTGAAATTTTCACACCTACATTATTTTTAGTACAGGTTCCACTATGGAGCTAAATCATGAGATTAACAACTGGAATGGTTCCACCAAAGCTGTTCGTGGTTAACCAGAATAAAGCTCAGAACACTGTTTCTCTTTGCATCAACACAAAGCCTCTTTATGCTACGTGTTCAGTGTGTGTCGAGATTAAATCCTAATGTCAGTTTTACGCTTGAACGATGAACTCAAGTTAGCTCATGTTGTAAAGCCAGCAACTCACGGCTAGCGTTTGTGCTTTTTTTTTGTTCCATTTTTTGTCGCCTGAGGCACACATTTCTCGCGCCTCACACAATCAGCCGTGGGGGATTCTTTTAAATCGCACATTTAAGGGTGTTATTTGCGATTATAAAGTAACCGATTAAGCAAGCTTAGGCCATAATTGATCGGCGTCAGGCCACGGCGTGATCGGTGTCAACATGAGTAAAATCAACTGGCCTGTTGTCCTCACAGACGAGTTTGGCCGGAGCTTCTGTGACGGTGTAATTTTCACTTTTCGGATGAATTTTTTTAGTGGTATAGCATCATTTCAGAGCTTTGTCTTTTGTTGCATCAATCGCATTTGTGACTTAAGCAACTAAACACCGTTTGTCTAAGTCAACAATAGTGCCTGATAGACGTCTGGGATGACGAATAGCTGACGTAACAAGTCTGTTGAGTCCATTTTTGCTCTAAGCAAATAGTAACACACGTAACTAATATATTCTGCTTCATCGAATTTCCGTTTGTCGAAAATTTATTCTTCACGTTATCGTTTCTGTCTAGCTCATGGATCTCAAGGTCTTTGTCGACACAGATTCAGACGAGCGTTTGTCGCGTCGTCTGATTCGTGACATCACTTGCCGTGGGCGACACGTCACTGATGTCATCCATCAGTATACTTCGTCTGTCAAACCAGCCTACGATACCCACATCGCCCCCACTATGTCGATTGCCGACATCATCATACCAAGAGGTAGAAATTTCCCTCATTTTAAGTGGCATTTTTGTCCTTTTTCCACAAACAGGACATGTTTCGGAACTAACATTGGATCATTTTGAATAGACTCTATCTGTGACAGCTGTGGACAGAAATCAGATGTCCTGTCTTTTTATCTCACAGGTGGTGAAAATACCGTTGCAATTGACATAATTGCCAAGCATGTTGAGAAGCGTTTGAACGAAGTAAGCTTGTCTTTTGACTTACTTAAATTATAAACTTGCTACTGATTCCTAATCTGTATGGGTGATTTTTTTGCATTAGCACGCACACCGATTGCGTTTCGAACAGGCAAGTGGATTACGCCTTTCCTCTGGCCATCTTCGTATGAACGGATCCGGCGACGCTGGAAGGAGTGGCAATAGTTCCCCCGAAGAGGCAAATGACACAGCCAGCGTGTTTTCTCTGGGCGATTACAACGGCGGCTATAGCAACGGCGTTGATGTCACCATTGATCCCAAGTTAATTCCCCCGACAGTGAACGTGTTGCCGCTCACACGGCAGGCCCGTTGTCTTCACACCCTTCTCCGCGATCAGAACACAAACCAAGACGCATTCATATTCTATGCAGAGAGATTAATGCGTCCACTCTGTGAATTCGCCTGCCGCCTTCTTCCCTACGAGGTAGAATAGTCGCTTTAAAACTGTCTCGATTGCCGTGTTGAAAAAGGCCATCGAGCTAAGCAATACCTTGTTGGTAACGTGTTGAGTGAGGTATCATGTTTTCCGAAGTGCAAGGATTACAGTCTACTGTACGCTTTGCGTCCTTTTAGTAACTCCAACACGCCACGTACACTCTACTGTAGATCTTAGTGACCTAATTGTGTCGCTACGTTGTGCATTTTGCAGGATGTTGTGGTGGACACGCCCCAGGGCATTCCGTACCGCGGTCGTCGCTTGGCCCCCGGCACTCAGATATGTGGCGTTTCCATTCTTCGTTCTGGTGAGGCCTTCGAACCCTCACTCGCCGCAGTCTGCAAGGACGTCAGGCTGGGGAAGATTCTCATCCAAACAAACCCCGAAACCCTCGAACCAGAACTCCATTACTTGAGATTACCCAGCGACATCAAGGTAGGTTGATGCATTAACCGTCACCAAATCCCATCTTCTGGTTGCGAATCAAGCGCCGGTATCGATCGATCGATTCCTTGTAACGACGACTTGTGCATGCATTTAAACATTCGTAACTGCGCTCGTCCGATCCCATATGTATGCTAGGGACCTCTTTGACTCAAGACCTGTGCATTCCTCGACTCTGCTTCGAGTTATATTTAGTTCTGTGCTGTTTTTCGCACTTGATTGAAGCCATGCACCACTCATTTGCTGTCAGGATTCGGGTTCTGTCAAGTCCTAAATGTCATGAATCGACGTCATCAAGAAATGCCACACCCTGTTTTGGGTATCTTATCTGCGAACTTGATTTCGTGTGCAGGTGCAAACTGTTTCTCTTTCTAAGACCCCTGGTGGTTCCAGTATCATCTCAGTGTGGATCGTCATCATTGCGGTAGCTTCAGCCACCATCGAAATGATCGAAATTTATGCATTGTGCTCAAGTGCTTGAGAGCACTGACTTGCGTTCCTCGCTGAACAACTATTTCAACTTGTGAATAGTTTTTCACGACTTGTGCTTGTGAATCCACTATATGGCAACATCCGATGGTCATCGTTAAGCGGTACCAAACACGGACGTGGTTTTTAAGGGTTTAAATTACAGTGTGAGCGGGATGGGGTGTATTTTAACCAAGTTCTCATCGATAACCACCAAAACCACCAACTTACTCCCCTACCAGGACTGCTATGTGATCCTGATGGATACGACGGTGGCTTCTGGTGCAGCAGCGATCATGGCGATGCGGGTGCTAGTGGACCATGATGTTCCCGAGGATCACATCATCCTCATTTCTCTCATTATGGCCGTGCAGGGTGTTCACTCCGTTGCCTACGCCTTTCCTAATGTACGTTTTTGTGTTCTTCCTACCTCACCCTAATTTAATGCAAGTCGGAATTTAGAATATTTCCAGTAATGCGCTGCTGTAGCCACAATCTTCAGTTTCTGCTTGCTATGCACCTTAAAACTTTAACTGAAATTGGTTTTGTGCATGTCTCGTCTATGGTTCAGTGAAGATGTTGTCATTGCACTTGACTGAACTTTCCGCGTGTATGCGTTCTCTCGTGACTTGGTTTAGGTGGCCAGACCGGAGGTGACAAGTGCGAAAGGCTAGTCGGTCATCGCGACTTACGGCGTCTAGATGACTTTTTTCTTCAATTGGCAGCCAATAACTTGCCGTAGGTAGTACCACCACCACAAGAACAAAGTGTGCTGAGTCTGTAACTGGGTTTTACACAAAATGACAGGTCTCATAGACATGCCCTTTTATTTGTTTTCACAGGCACATATCGTAACCTCTTCAATCGATCCCGGATTAACCGATGACTACCATATTCTCCCTGGAATCGGCAATTTCGGTGACCGTTACTTCGGCACAAGCCCCATTAAGGGATCACTTTGAAATGACGCAGTCCTTTGGTTCTTTTGATCTCCCCTGTTCCAGGCACCTTTTACAACACTTTCCTTTTGTGAACCGTTACATTTTACGTTTCTTCTAAGTGGTTTAACTGCTAGTTGTATTTCGATCTCTTGGTGTTCGTCTGGTGGTCGTGTTCCCCCGGTTTGGGCACCAACTCACGTCTACGCGCGCTCTTTCTCCCCCCGGCAACGCCTTGTTTAACCCGTCGGTGTACATTGCCACTCATTTCACCTTTTTACCATCCTACCTCCCCTCAAGAATGAGCAAGGCTTTTGTCATACACAGCTTTCCAATTTTAAACAACGATCATTTTCAGGTACATTGGCTACTTAACCGATTTTGTAATCGAAATCATTTAAAAATGTCTTGGGAATAAAAACTCCACCGGCTCTTTCAACGTACTTGTAATCCCCATTTTTACAATAAGCACGAAGTGACATCGAGTGGCAACTCCGCGTGTTTGTTTGGTTATTCTGTACACGCAAAGTGAGTCCACATGTCATAGCGTCCGCGGTTTGGGCAGTCCAATTGTGCGGTGGGTTTCACTTTCGACAAAGACGCACAAGGTCAAACTGACGAATAATTTGCAAGGGTTTTTCGTTTACCAGGTAGGTAGGGAAGCCTCAAACTCATAATCGGACTAAGGCGCTTCCACTAATTGACAGTCTAAGTTCTAGAATGAAATTTGTCCGCACTGCAAACCCAGAGCACTAAGCTTGGCTTTGTGAAATGCGTGATGGCAGTTGGGTTCAGTTTTGCTGTGACCTTGTGCGTTGGAAGTTTTGCACATTCACGATTCTCTAAATCTCCACTGTTAGCCGTTTTCGCCCTCTCTTCTGGTGCTAGAGATGCTCACAGGGGTGATGTATTGGGTGAGGCAGGCAGAATAAATTAAGTAATTTTCCTCAAATCCTGAGTGGCAATCAAATTTTACTGCAACTGGGGTTTCCAATGGTAAAATCAACGCAAAACAACATAGCGGCTTAAACACTCCGCCTTTGAGCTGCTGACAGTGTCCCGATGCAGGAGACTCTAAAAAGTTTATTTTCCGCATCACTGCAGGCGGCGTTTTGGAAGCATCCGCGGGCTCTCATCGAGAGCTCCTTTGTCGTTAAACCACAAAGAATTCAGGGTGCTCAGAACACGTTGGTGATTATTTGTGGGAGGAGCTTCCCTCAGGCTTTTCAATTGATCGAATGCACTTTCGTGATCCACATTTTCTGGGTGGGAAAGCTTTAATTTGTCCAAAACTTGGTTGTGGAAGGGAAGGAAACCCTTCCTGCAATTCTCCTTCTTGAAGTTTACTTTTTAATATTACGTGACTGCCCTCAACGACCTGCCTGGGTGAGTTTATCGCGTCTCAGGTCGCCGTGTAGAAACCCGGAAAGGTTTTGCTTTTCAAGGGCTCATTCGTGCTGCTTTTAATTTATTTTCGCCTAACCGAATTGCGTTCTCTCGGTGGTGTAATACCATTTATTTTTAAGTCCCTTAATAGGACTTGTGCCGAAGTAGCGATCACCGAAATTGTCGATCCATTATGAATTCACTGTGACCCGTCGTTTGTTTTAGCGGCGGAGTTGTTTGGGTGGTAAAGTTGCACTCTGCACCCGCATTCGATTCAAATGGGGATTTCTAAATTGAGGTATGTGTGGCGAAATGGCCGGGCTTTAACTATGTGGCCGGGTGCCAGGTCTTAGACAAAATCCCCTTAGTTCTTGAGCTGATTTCAACGGTGGATGCGCTTCTGGGTTACGACTGAAAAAGGTTATCAAAGTGTCCTACTCTATTTTTAAACCTAAGTCACATTGGAACTTGCAAAATTCTTGAGGTGTTTCTTGATTATCACAGCTAAATTCTGCTTTGGTTTGCGTTTTTCGGCTGAAAATTTGTCGAGATTTCCAAATTTGTGTTTTATTTGCTGTTGGTAAGATTCCGCACTGAGTTAGAAAATTTCTCACTCTTGGTGTCTAACACCAAATTTCAGAAGGGATTAAAAGTACAGTTTACGCTCCTAGTCATCCAAGAATCGCGTTAACAATTACCGCGCTGTATTCACCGACTACGTCGTGCGGTGTACTTTGCACGATGCCAAGTCTTGTTGTGCCAAATACCGGGTGAGTGATTCTAACTCGTGCATATTCGCTGGCAAATGTGAGTTCCAGTGGCAACAAGTTCTTGATATCCTGGCGACTACGAAGTTTTGTTTCATTTAACGTTGAGCCGTCTGAAGGTCAAGAACGAGGCTTATGCAGCCGCATAGGACGCGGCTTTTTATAACATTCGTTGGTGGTAGGACAAGAGACAGTTCTTACCTGTCGTCGAGGTGTAATTCGCCACACTGCTGGAAGCACGGTGTTATCATAGGCGGTAGTACATTATGGAAAATGGCTTAGTAATGAAGGCAAATTCTAAGTCTTTGAAAATCTACACAGATTTTCGTATGCACCTATTGGGGTTGTTTTCTGTTGAGTTAAGTTCTGATAATTCTCCTGTTTCACGACTAGAAAAAACCGCCAATTGTGATTACCTCGTGACTGTACATATCAGACCGTTGCAATAACAATATATTTCTTCAACCACGACTGGTAACTGCCCGCGAAAAGTTATTTAGAAAGTTTTACCTTAGCCCGTGCCGTTGGTTCTGCGATCAGCAAGAGCCACAATACTGTGCAGTTTGACCTCATGTAAAACTTTGACCGTTGTCGTGAATTTGTGACAAATGAGGTTGTTAAGGTCCGCAAATGTTAAAAGGAAATACGTTGACTATGGATAAATCAATGCTTGTGACTCGTAACTAAAGTATGCACACTATTGGCAGACAATTTGACAAGAAGTGAAATTGGCATCATGCCTGCCCTTCACCATATTTCCAATAAATTTACACTGATACGGTAGGTGACAACTATTGCTTGCGCAACACTGTTGGTCTATTTGATTCGAATACAGCCTACTGCAATCATATTCATCAGGCAAATGCACAAAAAAAGATTTGACGTTGACGTAACCATTAATATGTCAGTAACAAATGTTTAAGAAAAATGATGCGAGGGCGGAATAGGGACAACTTATGACTTCTTTGGGCGAATATAAACCTACAAAAATCCGGCTAAACATTTATCGGAAAATCAGCCATCTTCACAAACACCAAAGACTAATATAAACTAAATGCGTAAATGATGCTAAAAAATTTGCAGTAAGTTTCATTGAAATATGCAGATGGTGGTAGCACAAGTATCAGAGGTAGTTCAAAAGGAAAAGGAAACACAGGGACTGCCATCACGCAAACAAAACGTCAAAGAAACATTGTGGCTCAGCACTATGGCACGCGACTCTCTGGCCTTACTGCTAGTGCTTCCAACTACCAGCCAAATGTCACCATAAGTTGCACCAGCGTCTGGATCAAACCCTAAGGAATCACTCCTGCACACGACTTCCTCACAAAGTAAGCACCTCACAACTTCCAAACACAACCACTACTCCCAAATGGAGCGCACAGCAAAACCGATTTCAATCTGAGGTGCCACACTTCGTCATTCATTGCATACAATAGGAAATGTGCATGTTCTCGTTTAAGTGCGGCTGTAAATTGAACGGCTACGTCAAGTGAAATATGGAGGTCGGCAAAATCGCCTCCTGAAACCACCTCAACAAATGAATATCTAAAAGAAAGACATTGTGAGCACGGTTCGTCTCTGTGGTAAGTCTGTCTCGAAAACATATAGTTTTCGATGGAACAGAATAGATGGCTGTTTCACCGACTGAGGCGTCGTGCACAGTGACGATGTTTGCTGGTGGATTTAGCGATGCAGAGGCACAGATAAAGCGCATTCGTCACCACTTAGTAAAAAGTTCTAACAAATCGCTCCAACACACGCTTAGTCTTCTGCTGCTGTGGATGTTATTCACAACGTTTACACCGATAGAAAATGCACACACAAAATTCAAAACACACCCCAGTCTCAGGCTTGAGCGCTGGTTATAACGCTGATCACACCCCAAATCACACAACACCTAATTCGCCATTGCAAGGCGGAGCATGTAATGTCATTCAGAACATAGCTTCGAACAATCTAAGTAAGACCGGGGTATTATTTAGTAATATGAAGGAAACGAGTTCTCCAGGAAGGCTGTACTGACTGATCACAAAACATGGGATTCCTCTACGCTGGCTGTGCCGCCCTTTGACTACTGCTTATCAACCCTCTTTGTCTCCGGTTGGCTGAAGATCTGCCTTGCTGACCTTTCAAACCCACGAGGCAGAGATTTGCCTGAGTTCCACAAATATGCAGGCATATTAAGAGAACACCTGCGTCAACGTATATCAGCCCAGCATTGCATGACCCTGGCACATATTCCTCCTTTCAATGACAATACACAGCCTACTGTACTCCAGTATGTACGAGTTCGTATGGCATTTGCATTCTCTTCCTTTACTACCCTATTTTCAAAGTAGCAAAGTTTCTTTTGACAAACCTGACATACCGTTAATTTGAGTGTGCGGTGAAAGCTGCGGAAGGTTTTTGCAGATGGACATTCAACAGTACGTACTGAGCTGAATGCGATTTTAACCTAACGACATTAATTGACACTAAAAAACTAGTTCCTACATGCATAGCACGTACGATGCCCCATAATTCCAATTTACAACGAGACATAATTACCAACTTACCTAATTTTGGTCCATTTTTTTTACTCTTCTTGATTATGCACAGAATCCTTCATAAGATGACTAATACTCGAATCTCTTTTAATCAAAAACGCCAATTGTTTATTCAAATGGCCTCGATGAGTTGTTTACGGTTGACCGCCTTTGGTTCAAGGCGAATGTCTCCTGCGCTAAATAACTTGAATTTTCTATTTCCATCTCGCCATCTCCAATACTTTAGTATCTACATGCACAAATAGAGGTAACATACAGTAACAGAGGTGTCAGTGACTCTGTTTATAGATGGTTTTGCAATGATGCGTCCACAGACTCTGAATTCACGTATCATCACAGAAATCTGTGCAACACGACCAGTTTAATATTCTGTGTTGCTTACACTGCTTTGCACTCCCCAACAGCAAATAAGGACCAATTTCATGACACGTTAATAGGTTTCAAGATTTGGCAGTGGTGCTTGCTAGCTACCTGAGTCAGAGCTTGATTTGTACTAAGACGAACCGAAAAACATGATACTGACTGTAGTACTCAAAATACACAGGCTTTCTAATCATTATTAAATCCAACCACGCACATCATAGCCCAGTTTTCCATTTCACATTTTCCCAAATGCGCCCCTGTTGTGTAGCTCCGTTATATCCGTAATGGCTTAAACCATTAGTTTGAATTCAGCATAACCTTAATCTGTTGAAAAATAATTACTTAATTTTTGTGTTCGTTTTCAAAAACCCAGATGAACTTCTGATGCTTTTACGGAACATCTTCACAATCTTTTATGTTGACGCGCGGATATCGTAGACACTTTATTTGTTGCGTTAATTAACCATCAAGATGCATCATTCGCAGTTGAACCTTAATACATGGCAAAACTCCGTCGTGTTTCGTCACCTTATAATTATTTGGGTACTTGGAGCCTGATCAGGCCACAATAACAACAGAGCTGTATAGAGCCTTATATTGCACTTCGAAATGGGAACGCTTGTTTTGATTTTAGGAAGTGAAATTACGGATTAGCTAATTCTAGAGTAAATCGTACTGGTGTCGAACGGTACAAGTTAGGTAAATGACAAGCAAACTTGGCCTTAAGTTATCTGTGACTTGACCTGAAGGTAGATATTATGTAGAATTTCGTCTTTGAGGTAGGTGTCTCAAACATGATGTGTTGTCTCCATCTTTATCTAACTACCCGCATTATCCATCATGACTTGATACTATGGCAACAAACTTACCTTATAGCAATTCAAATTGCACCCCACGTAAAACTCAATATCTACAAATAAACAAGTTGCAATTTTAACGTGCCTATCGAGCCAAGAAATAAGTATATTACTTACGGCACCTTTCTCGGAGATGGCCACACAATCACTATTGACGACCAGACATGCAAAAGAGAACTAATAAATTGAACTTAATGCAATCTAAACCACCGCACACAAATACAAAAAGCCAGATGTTGAGGAAAGGGTTGGGGCGGCGATTGAAAAAGAATGGTCACGGAAAGGCTCAGGATTGCTTTCAGACCTCCAGCCACATGTTTAGGAAGGAGGGATTGCGGGAAGATGTGGGATGAGAAGTATAAGCAGGACCGACGTGAGTTGTTACGCCACTCAAAGTTATACAAAGCGCCATTATCGGCGATGATTCCTGTGAAGTAAGAGGGAAAATCTGTCATTAGATGGGGCTGAGTAAGTGGCTCATACTTGTAGACTATTGTAGACACCTAACTATAGTGCTATTCTTGAGCACAGTATGCTCACTTAAAAGTTAATTGAGCAAAGATCTGCAATATCATTCGAGTAATAAGTAATATTTTAGGTAGCTCTCCACTACCACATAGAAAATCCTCCAAGAGTTATCACAGGGGGCAATTTGATATCACGGAATCTTCAAAAACGCCCACATACGTCACAGCCTTTAGCAATAAGACGCTTGGCATGGACCTCCTGGAATGCCTATAACCCACAGATGACCTACCCATCTTCTAACAAATAATTACCCATGATAGTTATTTATTTGAATCTCTTTCTTAAAGTTGTCAGACCTATTTGTGCTCCCTTCTTTACATTTCCGCAGTATATGCGATTATAATCAATACCATGCAACCAAAGTGCCTTTTTTAATTAAGGTGATGGATTTCAATGCCCACATCTTGAATAACACAAACAACACGTCGAACACTTTTCACTGAGGCATTTCTCTTTTTCTGAAATATACACACTGAATGACTTCATCAAATTCTCATTCAAAACCATTGAGAACACAGCCGATACAACCCCTATGTCTCTTATGCACTCACCATGGAGTTTAATATAGCACTGCAAAGTAATTTTAGTAATGAAATTTAAAACTGTTATTCCTACAATTCACTTACACATAACAACCAAATAAAATTTCATCAAGCTATCAAACACCAAGATCAAATTACCATCTCAGATTATGTTTAAATACTAGCTCTTTTTAGTCATATTTAAACGTTACATTGTTTAACCATCTAATGTACTTGTCCTCTCGTACCGCCCACTTCAAATAATGGAGACTCTAAAGTGGGCTTGGGGGTACGTCACTTGGCCAGTAGCGCGTGCTGCTGAGAAGGCTCCAGAGATCCCAATTCGAACACCAGGTGGAATATACGTGAAGATAGCTGGACTTCTTGGTGCAAGTGCAGTTGCTGCTTTGGCTTACGCTGGTCACGGTAAGTCAAATGTTCCGATCAGTTACAAATTGTAGGTTTTGGAGAGTCTAAAGATTTAGAGAAGCGTCGCCAGACTTTCAAAACAGGTGCACAAATACATATTATCCACTCGGTGGCTTTTTTATGTGTCCGTAACTCCAGGTACCCAGCTCTGGTAATTGAACATTGTGCACTAAATTTTCATTAAGACTGCGTCTCTCTTCCTGACTGGGACGTGTTTATTTTCCGTTACATGCTACTACACTGCCATCACAAATAACAGGAGCATTGTGATGGCTGCGCCGGTTGGTGGTATAACGCTGATGCTTGCGTGGTTATCCTTTGTCTTATAAAGTCTTTTGCTACTTGATCCTCTCTTCCAAGACCGGTAAAACTTTTAATTTAGCACCCACTAATTGTACTTTTGTAGCGTCATTACACTACTCGTAATATATGCGGTTTTATGAACTTTCTATTATGCCGTACTTAATAAATAATAACTGGCGTAGTCTCACCAACATTTATTCTACCTCTGGGCGGATATCATCAAGTTCGTCCAAGGTAACTGGTACAGTTGGAGATGTGCAATGTAATCTAAGCGTTGGATTGAGCCACGATGCATGGTCACAAATGTTTGCATTTTGAGTCCCGGTAGTAGGGTTTTCTAGTCTGTCCTCACCTAATCGATGAAGTGGATTAACGCAACGAATGACAAAATGCCTTCCCAACGTTCTGCGGAGGTTCCGAACGCGCCCCACGGTCATATTTTCATCAATGCCTTCTCTGGTCTTTAACTAAAGCCCTCGGAGCCGGTCTCGCTGTGGCCAAAAGCGTTCCGCCCACCGATACCTCAAGTAGGGAGCTCTTGAAACACTTTTTCGACCAGACTAGACAAAACTCAAACGCAGTTATAGGATTTAACGCAGTTAAATCATTCGTAAATGTGGGGAATAAGACGCGTGGAAACTCATAATTTCTTCAGCTCTTTGAGCAACAGATATGTGCGGTCCTGGCGTAAAACTCCGAGAATTACCACCCATGTCTTCATCCTAACTGTCTGGCCTCAAGACTCTAGGTAGAGAAGAAGATAGTGATGGACCCATGAATATAGTTTATTGACGGCATGGGCTATTACTAGCGACAATTCGAGCGGACGGCCGGTTGTAGTAATGGGTAAAAAGGACATTGGAAAAGGTCTTGACCCTGCGTTCGTAGTTAACTATTAAGCAATTCGTGTTCCTTAGCCTTCCAAGTTTTCTCGACTTGTGTGTGGTAGGTCTTCACAATTGTTTTGAGATATTCGTTTGCTAGATGTTTGTCGTCTTCAGAGAGGGTTTTCATTTTAGATATGGGTTTTGAGAACTTTTGGTAGATTTTATCCATTTCCCTCTTCGTTCGGTGAAGCATGTCACGACCTAAAATTCAGAAAGGGCCACTGTAATGCGCGGGTATCCACCAATTTTTAGAACAAGCCCTTTTTTATTTTGGTATTTGAATTTCGCATATCTGAGTCCTTGCTGGTTCCGTACTGCATTACATAGATGCTTTTCATTTGCATGTGTCGGGTTGCCTGCTTATTTTCGTCAGCGCCACTAAAACACAGCGAGGGTTTGTTGAGCTCAATGCGTCAAAATCGGCTCACACAACACAGTAACAAGAAATAACCAATTTTACTAGAAATACAAACAGTGACACTAGACATACCTCTTTTTGCCAACTCGTTCCGCACATCGCCAGTAACAATCGTTCGAACACGCACTGTGAACTGGGTTTGGCTTACCGCTTCGATAAGATCACTTGCAGGTGAGGCAGCTTTTGTCTGTTTGGGATTTGGCAAAATTGAGTCACTAGACAAGAATTGGGAAACGGCTGTTTTCGCTGCTGGAACCAGATCAGGCCTGCCGCTTAGGTCTATTAAAACTTGTGTTGACGGCTGGGCACTTGCAGATGGGGCTGAGGTCTGACTTAGAATGCTAGCTACTTCGCCCAGTTGCACATTTTCCCCAGGGATCTAAGCAGACGCAAGTAAGCATGTCCACTAATTTCGAAAAAGAGACTAAAGAGGTGGAACCTACGGGAATGCTATAAAAGTGTTCTGGCGTCAGCTTCAAGCAAAGCTTGCGGTAGATATCATCTTGAAAGCGGGCAGCAGCCCTCGCATATTCCTGTTGCATTTCTTCGTCCTTGATCATCTGTTTGAGTTCCTCAGTCAGATTATCATGTTTTACTTAAGAAAATTAGCATTCGTTTGTGAATACCCATGTCTTTCCGACCCTTGACTTTACTTTTTAATCTTGAAGGTTGAAACAGAAGAGAATTGTTAACAGCCTCCATTTGATTAAATGGCGGAACCGTCGGGAAAACCAAACGATTATGAATATAACATCTGGACGTAGTTAAGTGGCCCACGTTTGGGCAAATGGTGAAAAGACGTCGCAGAATTCTTGAGATCATCCACGCCTTAAAACTACTGGTGTGGTGTGACGTCGGATCAGGGCGCAGACATAGTGGACCACCTGGCCGCAGCCAATCCTGTGTTTCTCTGTGTTCCAATGGCATGCGAGAAAGATAAGCAGCCAACCAGAGAA